AAAATTGGTAGTTTTTATTGAGCTTTCCTTTTAAATAAAAAGAAAAACCTAGACAGACAATAAGCCTTCTGTTTGTCATGCCAACCACTAGAGGGCAGAATAGTCACATTTCCTGGCACAGGTGTAATTCATTCTAAGAGTGACGCTATAGTCAGAACACATTTGCCAATGCTTATCAATACAGATGTTCCTCAATTTATGATAGGAGTAAATCCAGATAAACCCATTGGAAATTGAAAGTATATTTAATAATACACCTAACCTACAAAAATCATAGCTTTGCCTAGCCTTCCTTAAATGTGCTCAGAACACTTACATTAGTCTACAGTTGGGCAAAATCATCTGCCAGCACAATCCACTGTAGAGCATCAGTTGTTTACCCCCATGATGGTGTGGCTGACTGGGAGCTGCGGTTTGCTGCCTCTGCCCAACATCGTGAGAGAGTATTGGACAGTGTATTGCTAGCCTGAGAAAAGATCAAAATTCAAATACAGTTTCTATGGAATGGGTATCGCTTTTGCACCATCTTAAAGTCGAAAAATCTAAGTCGAACCATATTAAACGGGGACACTTATATGGGAATTTCTAAAACAATGGAATTCCAACATTTTAGGGTGCATACTAATCAGCAGAGGACCTTGCAAAAATGCAGCTTCCTGGGCCCTCCCCCCAGAGATTCTGATTTGATAGCTGTGGGTGGCACTTAATTTTTTTTCTTTTTTTTGAGACAGTCTCACTCTCTTGCCTGAGCTAGAGTGTCGTGGCATCAGCCTAGCTCACAGCAACTTCAAACTCCTGGGCTCAAGCAATCTTCCTGCCTCAGCCTCCCAAGTAGCCGGGACTACATGCGCATGCCACCGTGCCCGGCTAATTTTTTCTATTTTTTTAGTTGTTTGGCTAATTTCTTTCTATTTATAGTAGAGACAGGGTCTCGCTTTTGCTCAGGCTGGTCTCGAACTCCTGAGCTCAAGGGGATCCTCCCGCCTTGGCCTCCCAGAGTGCTAGGATTACAGGCATGAGCTACCGCACCCGGCTGGAACTTGATGTTAATATGAAGAGATTCTCAAACAGGTGTCTTGGATTTTACTTTGAGAAATGTTGCTCTATAAGAGTGTTTGGGGCATGCATTTCTGTCTTTTTAGCTTTTCTCTTGGGATTTCAAAGCAAAATGATTATTTTGGAGGAAAAAACAAAAGAAACTCAAGGTATAGGGAAACTAGAGTGTTGGTTAAAGGTTTTTCCTTGCCTTTGTCTAACATTTTTCAAAGGAAACTCACTTTGTAAATATTCAGAATCAAAGAAGCTACTAAAACATGTTTTTATTTAGAGTTATACTTCAATCAATGAAGATCATAGGTTCCTCAGGCTATAAAATTTGTAATAAAATATCCCTTCTATGAACATCTCACAGTGCCTGTAATTTTATCCTTTGGATATTAGGAAGACATCACGCCAAATGTCTTGGCATTGTTAAGGTATAATTTTGGAGACCTTCTGAGTATATTTTACGTAATCCTGTCATGATCTTGAACAAGTATGGAGATCCTCTTTTATATGCAAAGATTGAACTGTAGCAATGTACAATTTTCTTTTAGTAAGGATGACAATTTTATTTTTGCTAGTGCCCCTAGAGAGCAGCAGGATCCTCTTGGGGAAAGTTTTGCCATTGCTTTTAGGTGGAAAAAGGAATGTGGTAAAATCATTCACTTCTGTGTTAGGTTCCCACAGTTTTCAAAGAGTTAGAGAAATAGTGGGACTGTGAGTCAAATGAAACTGGGTTCTGAAATTGGGACCAATTAGTAAAAGGAAAATATGAGTTTTTCAGCTATACATAAAAATGGTCTATCTTCTATGAGTTTATCATGGACCTCTACCCTCACATATTTCAAGTGAAGATTTTCCAGGGTCTCTTCCTCTCACCTTGGTTTTTAGGGGTGTTTTGTGATTATATGTCAATGAAAAAGGAACTGTAATCTTCTAATCTCTATCTCCCTTCCCCCCACCCCACCTTTTGCACACACAAAGGATATAAGAAATTATTAAAGGCCAAAAATCTAGAATGTGTCATTTTATCTATAATTTTATAGGAAAAAAGATGTTTTGCAGAAATTATGCTGTCTTTATGATGAACTTTAATTAGTGGCACTTTTAGTAATCTATATGTAAATTTTTAATCTGACAGTCTCCTAAAGTTTATTTTGATGCTGATATGAATTTTTTTTTTCTTTTTCTTTTTTTTTTTTTTTGAGGCAGAGTCTCACCTCTTACCTGGGCTAGCGTGCTACGGGGTCAGCCTAGCTCACAGCAGCCTCAAACTCCTGGGCTCAAGGGATCTTCCTGCCTCAGCCTCCCGGGTAGCTGGGACTACAGGCATACGCCACCATGCCCGGCTAATTTTTTCTACTTTTAGTTGTTTGGCTATTTCTTTCTATTTTTATTAGAGACAAGGTCTTGCTCTTGCTCAGGCTGGTCTCGAACTCCTGAGCTCAAGAAATCCTCCTGCCTCGCCTTCCCAGAGTGCTAGGATTACAGGCATGAGCCACCACGCTTGGCCAATGGTGATATGAATTATGCTAAAAGAATCCTCCAAGTAAAGGAACCTCTAAAAGAGAGGTAATCCTTGAAGGTCTGGTAAATTTCCAGTTATGTTAGATTAAGTATTCAGGAAGCCTATTTATAGTTAAAATCTGGAGCAGATGGTGAAATGAGAATTTGTGCATCATAATCATGGAGCACAGGACTTGTAGTGTTTACTCTAGAGAATGGCTGTGGCTAGTATAAGATAAAAAATTGAATCTTTACAAAATGGGTGGGCTGATGAATAGCACGAAGCTACCAAACTCTATTAGTTACAAGTGTGGCAAGAATGGATTTCCCTCCTCCCTCCATCACTTGGGGCAGCTTGGTTGGAACTGGGGTGATGGGAATCCCTTGGCTAGTTATTTATCTGTTTCACCCAGCACCACACAAATATGTTTTCTATTTGTGCCATTATGTGACAAAGTGGGGAAGACTTTGTCCTTTAATTCCAATTTCTGTCGTTTATAATTTTATCATCAGTTGATCAGTGCCTTCCAAAACATTACACAGACCCACTCTTGATTATTAACTAGAAAAAGATCTCAGGCTACAGCAGCAGGAGCAGCAGCATCATTGCCTACTTTGAAAAAGCTAAAATGAGGTATGTTGTGCCTTCCAAAGTTCTAGGCCAAGGTGACTTAAAAATAAAAATAGTTTTGAACAACATTTAGACCATCATGTATTTTGTAATACAGTTGGGTCACAGCCGATTCCCAAGATAAATGTGTTTAAACAGAAGCTTTCTCATTCATCAGTAGCCTCAGCTTTCATCCAGATTTATTTAATGATGATGCAAGCCCACAGTGTTGGTGTTGCAGTTCATCACCATGGAAGTGTTTCTGTCAACAAATCCTGACTTTGCTATCATGAAATTGATTTTGCAGGGAAAAGAAGGATAATTGTGAAAGATTCCTTTTATTCTTAGAGATCTTCATGGTTTGCCTGGATGACTAAATGAATTGTGTTTAAAATCAGTAACTTAGATTTGAAAGAAGTACAATTGACCACACTAAATTAACAGTTATGGGGTTAGAAAAAAGAAAATGGCAGTAAGGTAGTTTGTCCTTTAAAATGTGACTTGGGGACCAGACATAAAATTTAAAATGTTCCTCTGAAAACTTATTCTCTGCTCAGAAGTATAGATTATACTTAGAGTCCCATGAGCCAGGCACCAAACTTTCTAGGATGCTTTCGCTGAATTTTTTTCACCTGCCTTGTAAATTGCATAATAATCACCAAAGAAATTCACAGTGTATTACTTTCTTCAACTATCATACTGTGTGATTTTTTAAAAAATATGCCTTTTCTATAACTTGTGTTCATAACTGTCTTTGGCTTTTATTTGCTTGTTGAGAGGTAAAAAGAACAATTGAAAGTTTCTGAATGCAGTCTCCTTTTAAGCAGGATAGGTAGCACCTACATTAAGTAATCCAAACTGTTTTAAGATCCATATAGGAAAAAGGAATAAGAATGACATTTTTGCTTTGAAGCACTGTGTTCAAGAACTTGTGTCATAGTGGCTGATTCCAGACTTGGTTGTAGACATAAATGTTTTGTGGGGATTTTGGTCTATGGTAGAAATACAGTCAACTCTTGATTGTCATCATAACTTGTATTTCCAAATGTGCTTTCTCTGGCTTCCTATCACATTTCAAAATGTTTTACTTTTACCATCAGCTTATATGTGCTCAAAAAAAGCTAATTATTTAATATCATTTCATTATTATTAGTAAACATTTAGTAAGTTCCTAATATATACTAAGCACTGTGCTGGTCACGAGGGATACTAAGATACATGAAAACATGTGGTTACGTTTGCTCTTGAAAAATCTTACAATTCACTTTGAAATCAAAGAGATGTAAAATTTTTATTTATTTGAACCACTTTCTCCTCTTCTAATATGTGATCAGAAGTTAACTGTAAATGGAGAGTAGGTCCTGTTTGTTTTTGAGGAAGGATTAATAGACATTATAAATAGGAAATAAAATTCTATTGTACATGCAGAACTATAATACAGAATGACCAAAAGAAAATTCAGCAAGCAATGGTAAAAACAACAAATTATTTACTGCTTTATAATGTTAAAGTATTTCACCAAGACAAGTTGCAGTCAAATTAAAGTGAGTTATGGAAAATGAAATACATAAAGATGTATTTTTATAGGTGCAGACTAAATATTTTCCATACTGGTATGTAAATGAAAAGATATACAGTAAGTGCACACTTGATATGACTATGCAGGCAACAGTTAGTTTCAGATCACTCTTGTATAATTCATGCACAAACCTTCCCAAAGTACAAGTTCAGTCAGTCTTTTTGGGGATATGGAGGGATGATTAAAAAAGAATTGGCGTTCCTTGCAAGAATATCAGTATGGACTGGATCAGGGTGAGCGTGGTCAGTTATATATATTACTTACTGTAATTTGTGATTGTCGAGGAAGGGGTGTGGCTGTTGGTGTGATAGTAATACTGCTGGTGACTTTATTGGTTGTTTTGTTTAGTGCCCCGTTAGTTAAGCCTTGAGTTCGGTTATCCTGCAGTGGTGTTGAGGGGCTGGCAGGTCTCACAGGGCTGGCCACAGCTTGCATGTAAGGACTTCCTAAGTGAATGTGGATTTTATTATCCTCAGTAGTTATCACACTTGAACTATTACTGTTTGAACGTTGAAACTGCCATGATGACTGCCGGTCTGGGGAGACTCTGAAAATCGCATGCTTGGCACTAATTTCAATTGGCTCTGGAGAGCGTCCCTGCTCAGGAGAGCTGGCTGAACCAGTCACAGCCAAAACCTGAATAGGTGACATTGTCCTTTCTGGAGTTAAAGAACCACAAGACTCTGGGGTCTGTGCTCTGGCAAAGGTTGCCATAGTAATCGGAGACATGCCTTGCTCTAAATTAATGAGGCCTTCCGTAGAGGGTTTGGATTTCACTGATGTTATGGAGGCATTTTGGAGGATAGTTATCCTTTGCTTTGGGGTGCCACAGTTCGGTATCACTGCAGTGCTCGTGTAAGAGTGAGGGCTCTCTGTGGTCGGACTTGTGATTTCAAGAGTAGCTGTGTTTTGGACATGGTCTGGAGTAACCTTTATATGAAGTGGCTGTCCAGGCGTGTGGCTTAGGACTAGATCTCCAGGTTGCACAAAGTTGCCATTGGGTTTAGTTTGTATTTTTCCATTCTGAGGATGGCTGTCCTTGGATTTCATCCAAGGAATCCATAGCTTCCTGTTAACGGGACAGGGAGTAGATGGGTTGCATTTGAAGGACAGCACAGATTCTTCGTCATTAGGGTCCTCGTCCTGGTCCTCACTCTCCTCATATAACTGACCATTGATGACTGCTCGTTCCAAAGGAATGAGGCTCTTGTAATCAGGTGGTTCATTGTCTGCTGCTTCTGTCTGAACTTCTTTAGAAAATACTTGAGGGTCAGAGATTCTTCTTCCATTGAGATTAGGCCGGAGGCTCTTACTAAAATGTCGGTACCTCTCTAATTCTTTAGTGAGGTTTTCAATCTCTCTTCCTAAATCTCTGTTTCTGTTTTCCTGTTGATTTAGTTTCTTTTGCAGAACTGAGTGATCTCCCTGGAGGTGACATATTAGGTCTTCAGTTGCCATGTATTCATGAATTTTCTCTTTTAATGCATCCACTTCTCTTGAGAGGTGCCCTGACTTAGCTTCTTCTTCTTGAAGCCTCTTGAAAAGCCATTGTTCATGGCTGGACTCTGTCTTTTCTGCTAACTTGTATTTAGCAAGTTCCATTTTTACTTGTTCTAGCTCTTCAGATAAAAATTGTGCTTTGTCTCGTTCATTAGCGTACCTTCGTTCTAGAGTCTCATACTCATCTTCTGTTTTCATGAGGTCATCCTCGATGGCTTTCATATCCTTTAGCTTCAGTTTCAGTCTTTCCACTTCTTGAGAGAGTTCTTTAATCTTATTGTTTTCTTGGTGTAATGCTGTTGTGGATTTACCAGAATCTTGATTTAATTTGTTTTTTAGGAAATCTTTCTCAATTGCTTCTAATGATTGGAGCCTATTTTTCAACATATTAACTTTTGACAGGAGATCATTTCCTTTCTCTTCCTCTGCTTTCAGTTTGTTTTTTAGATCATCTCTCTCCTTGGTTACACTGTACATCTTTTCTTCCACATCAGTTTTAGATTTGAGTGCCCTTTTAGTTTCCTCAATTAACTTCTCAGTAACTGCTGTTACTTTATTTTGCTCCACTTGAAGCTGAGAAGAAGCAGCTTGTAACTTATCTTCAGTTTGCTTTAATTTTTCACTCATTGTTTTCCGCTCATCTACAAGCATTACAGTTAATGTTTTCAGTTTAGTTAAATCCTCTTTTAGGGTGAATTCTGTCTTTTCCAGCCGATTTTCAATAGCTTCAAGCTCTTTGATCCTTACTTTTAAACTCTCCAATTCTTGAGACAACTGCTTTGTGGTCATCCTTTCTTTTTCTAAATTGCATTTCAGAGAATAGCATTCTTGTTTGCTTTTGTTGAAAGCATCTTCTAATTTTTCCAGAGCCATAATTCTTTTACTGAGTTTTTCAACCTCTAGTTTAAAGTCTTTACTTTGTGATGTTTCCTTTTCAAGCCTCTTATTGAGATCTCTGCACTGCTCCTCCATTTTTATAAGCTCTTCATCTTTCCCTTCCATATCTAGTACACGTTTCCTAAGCTCTTCTACTTCCGCCATGATACCAGCATTTCCATATTCTCCCTTGTTGATTTTTTCTTTTATATCTTGCAGCTCCTCTTCTGCTTTTCGTAAAGTCCTGTTTGTCTCTTCCAGCTCATCAATTTGCCGGCTAAGTGCTGCCAGCTTTTGTCGAAGCTGGCGATTTTGACTGTCCTCATTGGTGAGCTTTGCCATAATTGCGTCTTGGTCCTGGTTAAACTTTGTGGTCTGCGTTTGCAGTTCCTTCTCTAGTCTGTTTGCCTTCTGCTCTTCTTCCTGAACTCTGGCTTTAGCAAGGGCTAGTTTGGCATGTGTTTCCTTTGCATTTGTGGTCAGGTCTTGGATTTTCTGTCTTTGAAGGGTGAGCTGTGCCGTCAGTCTTTGTTGTTCATCCACCACCATCAAAGCAAAAGACTTCAACTTGGTCAGCTCCTCTTTCAGGGTGGTGACCCTCTTCTCTTTTTCTTGATCCTTCTTCTCCTGGGACTTGGTTTCTTGATCAATCAGCTTCTTTAATCTGAAAAATACAGGAGTACATTCTAGTTTGCAATTGGTGCTTTAGTAACTTATCAGATTAAACATTTATGTAATTTAGAAAGATCGTATCAGTTTATACAAAATATGCAAAGGAGTTCCTGAATTTGAAGAGGGAGGAGAATCTTGATAAATGGATAACTTACTTTCTTATTTGACTACCATTGATTAGTAATAGTTGCAGGAGCCTTAGAAAAGTAAGGGCAAGAATATTTGGTTTAAATTGCTTGTGCAACATATAATTAGTACATAGTCTAGCCTGAAGGCTGTGAAAATAGGCACAAGCTTGAGATGCAGTTAGACCTGGCTTCAAGACTGACTGGACCTACTCTTACCAGCTAATTAGCCCGAGCAGTTATTTAACATCTGTGAGCCTAAGTTTCCTCATAAGAAAAATGGGACAATAATTATGTTTACCTCAGGGGTTCTTATGAAAACTAAATGAGGTAATTCATCTAAGATTCTCACAGTCCAAGCACACGGTAAGCAACTGATGTTAGTTGTTGCTGTTGTTCTTTTGTTATTCATCTGATTATTATATTTATCAAATGGTTTGCTTGAACCAAAATATGCAGTATATTAATGTTTAATGCTCAACACCCTGATTCTTAATTAAGATAAAATTTTATTCGCGTTGCTTAGAAATTATGTACTTCACTGATGCACCTTTTCTGCAAATTAAAACTTGGTTTGTACTAGCATGACATTATTCTAGAAACCATTCACGTATATCTTATACTAAGTGGATGGCAGTTAAATGAGAGGAATTGAGAAGCAGCATCTGAATGAGTTTGGAGTTTTCACAGCATATGGGAAGAACATGGGATTTTGTAGTGAAGCGCATATTGATGAGAGTCTGATACTAGACACAATGGAGGAGAAATTTTATTATCAGGAGTATAATAATTCCCACTTAAATGGTGAGATTATAACATGCCATTTGTTTCTTTATGTTTTAAATTTGTCAGCATAACAGAAGGGCATTTTACGTGCAGTATAAACTATTTCTTCTACCTCAGTAGTGAGGTCGCAGTTTTAAATTTGTGGAACTCTTAATTATACTGGAATGAGCTGATTATAGAGCATATAATTATAGCCTTGCTGTATTGTTATACAGAAGCTAAAATAGGATGGAATCCCTGAAGAATTGAACTAAAGGACTTGTCATGAATGAAAAGTTATAAATATTTGCTTTCATAATACTTTAATAAATCTTTTCTGTTAGGAATGAATTAATTATCCAATGAATGTCCGTAGTCTTTGTCACATAACTTTCTTTTTGAAAGTTTTTAAGGATTTGAGAGGACATTTGAAAAGGAAACTAATTTGGGACAGTGTTCTTAGAAATAGAGTCCTTTTTGAGATCCTAATCTGTTCTTTTATGTAATTACACTACAGAGGAGGAACATGTTTTATATAATTGTATAATGTAATAATTCCCAAACTTTTTTGTGGGAATCTTTTAGTTTTTTTCTGTTTTGAGAACATAACAGGAGGCTGACTCAAGAGCTGTGGCCTGTGAAATTCAGAAGAGGCAAGATGCTGGGGTGGGGTTGATGATGATCTCATCCATGGCCTTGGCTAGAGGCTTGCCCCGTGGCTTCTGGCTATGCCCCACTCCCTATTTGAGACCCTGGAAGCCTGAGTAGGTAAACATGGCAGCTTCTTTCTAAATGGTCATGAGACTTCTCAACCAAGTGGCAGAGTCCACAGGTAAGCTGCTTTGGTGGTGAAATAGTTAACAGAAACTTTGGTGAAGTACTTTTTCATTGTGCCTTAGCATTAGAATTCAATTTAATGATTTTGACAATGCGTTGAGCATAATTGCAGTGAAATATTTTCCCTTCTCTACACCACAGTTCTTATTACAGTTTTATTAAAGAACAGTTTCACAAAAACTTGTAAGGACTTCTTTTCCACTTATTAAATAATAACATGTGCTATTTCATTTTTATGAGAAGTGGGTGTGTTTTCTTAAGATATAAGGGAGGGAAGATTATTTTGTAGTATAATGAAAGAGCATTAAAGTGGAATGGTGATTAGTGAATATTGGCAGTGCAGTAACTTGCAAAAAGTGTTTTGAAAAAGTTTCAATTGCTTCCATTTTGTTCAATGATTTCAAGCAGCAAACGTGATGCATCTGTTTCACATGATGCAGATGTGATGCATTTTTTTCATGGTTATTGTAAATTGGCTGACACCCGCATCTGCTCCCCAAGCTCCATCTTATAAGGCAGGCACATAAAACTGACTATTTGAATACATTTGCTCGAAGCATTTCTTTACTACTTGTTTCCCAATAACCTGCTACTTCCCTGGGCCACTCCCATGAGGACAGCATAGGACAGTTAGCTGCCTAGTTTGGTAAAGCCTGTCAGGAAGGGAGATAGGAGTTTATATGCAGAAAACCTATACCCCCCACCATCATTTAGAAGCTCAGGACCATGAACTAGGGAGAACTGAGAGCAGGAGGCCTTGATGGAACCTTTTCAGAACCATTTGGGTGCATGTAATGTGTGTGTGTGTGTGTGTGTGTGTGTGTGTGTGTGTGTGTGTGTGTGTGTGAGAGAGAGAGAGAGAGAGAGAGAGAGAGAGAGAGAGAGAGAGAGAGAGGTGGGTGGGGAGGGAGAGAGATATTGGTTATGCAACTGAATTTGGAGGAACTAGCACTCTGAATGATAGTAATGAATGGGCTTACCCTAAACCACTATTTCTTGCATTATATCCAGGAACATTTGAAGGTTGAAGTGTGAAGTTCGAGGCTGGTGGTTGATGATCTTCAAGAAAGTATAGAGTAAGGAGGGTACAGAGTTGAGGCTCCTAAGCCTGCTTCTTTCTTTAAGTAGGATTGATTGGGTTTTAGACAAAATAATAACTTAATTTGCTTTCTCCATTATTTTTCTTTGCACATTTAACAGGTTTTAGGCGTTGATACTGATGGACTCTATATGCTAATACACACTAGCATGGATTCTAGGTTTGCTAGCTAAAGCAGATTTTGATAGCTTTTAACCAGAATTCTCATTACTTTGAAAGTAGTGTAGACCTTGAGATGCATAACTCTCCATATCTGAAATTCATCCCATCAGAGTTATGTAGTCAAATTATGACTCCTTTTTCCATTAATAATTCCAATTAATGTGCCCTTAGGTGAGGATATTGTATAATCTATGCCAGGGTTTCTCCAACCACAGCACTATTAATATTTTGGGCCAGATAATTTTTTGTTGTGGAGGTCATGTGCAATATAAGATGTTTAGCAGTATCCTCCAGACATTAAAAATGTCTCCAGACATTGTCATATGTCTCCTGGGGGGAAAAATCACCTCCATTTGAGAACCACTGGTCTATGTATGTGTAGGTATGTGTGTGGGTCTTTATGGGCATGTACATATGTTAGTCTATCGTTAGAAGTTAGAGTCCATAGTTCTGCCTTACTCAGCTTTAAGTAGGTGCAACAGAAAGTTGCTACCTGAATGACATGTACACCTGGTGATTGTATCTTCCCTGTTGAAGGTCTTTATCAGTGTTTCTCACAGTTTAATGTGCATTTGAATCACCTGGGAATCTTGTTAAACTGCAAATTCCAATTCAGTAGGTCTGGGGTTAAGCCTCACAGTTAGCATTGTAACAAGCCCCCAGATGATACCAAGTCTGCTGGCCCTTGGACTGATTATGGATAGCAAGGCTTTACTATTTACATGTCAGATGTTTCCTGGAAATGGAATTCTGGCTGAATATTAACTCAGGCAATTGTTGTTCATTATTGATTATATCCCAGTCTGAGGTATATATAGCCTGTATTCCTGACCTATGTGGCCACCTACTTTTTACCTGAGGACATCAGGTAGGAGAAGAGGACTAAATTAACTGAACTATGTCCATATTTCTGGAAAAATATGACTTAAAATGCACACCATAGGTGGTGGGTCAGTAGCTACTCTTTCACATAAAATGGACAGTAAATAATTTTAGTTCCAATTTGTGATTTTCCTCACATAGCCCAAAGACTAAAATATAGGAGATTATATATTAGCTACCATTCTTGATTTAGTACCAATGATGTTGTGTTGCCAAGCACTGAGCTAAGTCTGGGTTCTAATTCTCACGATAAGTTTACAGGGTTTGGGATTATTTCCATTTTATAGCTGTGAAAACTGAGTCTCAGAAAGGTCAGGAGAGAACAAAGCCTGTGCTATTTCCTCACATCACATTGCAGAGAACACAAATCATTGCATGGGATTGTCCACATACAAGAGTCTTTATTAAGAAGACTCTCTGGAGAAACTATCAACTTAATGAAAAATCCTTATTTATCATTGAGTTTGTGTTCTTTTTACTTTATATCTCTTACAGCAGTGGTTTTCAAATGTTTGTTCTTATATTTCCTAAAAGAATTTTTAAAAATTAAGTACCCCTTTATACATTTTAAAACTGGCATCTAGATTTTTTTATTCAAGGTTTAAATAGTTGCAAAAGATATATTTTAATATCTGCCATATAATCTAAAAGTCTTCATTAACAAATCAAACAGCCAAACCAGTCATTCTTTCAGGAAAAGTCTGACTTCATTTTTCAACTTTAGTAAATTTAAATACACATCCCTCTGGCACCCATCTCATTTCTGAAAGTGATAAGGCACAGGGACTTCCCCTAGTTGTCCCCAGATGAAGAAACAAGGCATTGCTCCATGCAGTGGTAGTTCTGAGCCTACTGCTCTGCTATCTTGGAACTGTCAGGAGTAAGGCTTTCTATAGTTGTCCCTTTGGTGATCAGCTTTGAAAAAAGTATATGTATTAATACGAATTATAGATGTAGACATTGATTCCCTTAAAGCTCTTCATGCCTGTACCCCTGGAAAGGTTTTGTGTACCCTCTGGGGTACATGGACCCCAGTTTGAAGACTACTGTCTTAAAGTACTCATATTTGTGTTCAAGTACTGACACCACAGGATTATAGGAACATACACTGAATCCTGTCCA